CACTTTGCGAACTTTTTTGAAACGAATTCCAGCTGATATACTTTTATCACTCATCTCTGATAATTGTATAACATTTTATTACCTTAGTATTTGAAATGAATTCATTAACTCATATCTACTTGTTACGAAGGTTTGCTGACCTTTTTTGACCGATATGGTGGCACAACTTTTTACACAACATGATATACGATCTTCCAGTGTTCCTTTTGATCTAAGAATTTAACCAGCCATCACCAACATCCCAACTTTATACTTTGAACTGCCAATATGAAGGTTACTGTAGGGAACAAATTCATTAACTTCCATCTTCACCAACTTTTCAAAGTTAAGGATGACAAAAACAAAAAAAACGCTGTTGAACAAAGTGCACACCTTTTTCAATAAGTGTTGTGTCAAATCCCATTTCATTATAAACTGTGAAAAAAAAAACAAAATTTTCAAATTTCTGTTTTTAGTGATCATTGATATTAATCGATCATTCGTACCAGTGGAGAATAAATGTGATTAGACTGGAAGGCTGTGGAATGAATTTTAAACAGTTTTTTAAATATTGCCTTACTTCTCTCATTAACAGGGAGAAAAATCTAAACTGAACAGTGTCTGTCACAAATCTCCAGCTGAGTGTCGCAAAATGCTACTGCTAAATCTTTTTAACTATTTAAGACAAAGAACCACAAGGAATAAAATGCCCTGAATTCAGATCCCTAATAAAATCCCCTGTTTTTAAAACTTGTAGCATTGGCATTGCTTTGTGTCCATCAATTCTAAAGTAAAACTACAAAGGTCAGCAACTAATTGCTGGGATGTCTTCCATCTTTCCACTCCACCTTTCCTGACCATACCATCAATAACTTCTTTTCTCTTATCATCCTATACATATAGGTTCTTTTTGTTCGATTCATAATAACCGACCTGTTAAGATAGTCATGCTCTCCAGGAATTTTTAGTGAACTTTATTCCAACAATGATCTTATAAGCCAAAAGTCACAAATCAAGTTGAATGCGAATTCATCGTATTTAAGCATTAAGTTTGAACCCCGAATTCATATTACGTTTCTTAGAAGCCAATCTCAGAAAGTTAATTAGCAAGACAATTTGCCACCATCATTCTTTCCTCTCTCTCTTGAACATGTTATAGCTCCCGTAGTGCCGAAATTTACCACGACTTAAGTTCGTTAACAAACTGCTCAAACAGCTGCTACTACTGGACGGTAAACCATTTGCAGGAGGTTATAAATTACAGCAGAAATAAAAATAAAGCAAAAATTTCCCATTTCAACAATTTAATTTGTTTCCGAGTTGAATAAAATTTATACCAATCCATTGGTTAAGTTCGGACATTTCAAGTTCAACATCTTCCAGTAGTGGTACTTGTTAAGGAAAGGAAATGAGCTCAGTGTAATGATCTATCTCACACTGTGGTAAGGAACAGCAGCAGAGATGATACGTTGAAATATATGTGGTTATATTACGAATGTATGCATGCAGAAATGCATGCATGCAGCTAGCTACTACAGGTCGAAAAGATTCTAAAACAAAGAAGGCAAGAAGTATATGGGTGAAGGAAGTTGATGGTTCCATTGGTTGAATTATATATTTCATTCGTCCCATTGATGATAGTCTGTCATTTTGCTGAGGAGTAGTAGACATGTAGTTGGTAACCAGCTATCGTATATGAACAACCTCACCTCTTCCATCTCTTCCAATCTTCCCACCGTTCCCTTTCATGTCCTTCCTTCCACCTCTACTACCATCAGTAACCTCTTGAAATCAATTACCCGAAACTGATTTCCACCTCCAACGTATCCTTTCCCTCATCTACACACACGATTTGGAACTTTTTTTTCTTTTTTGTACGAATTGCATTGCTCATCTATGGGTCGATTTCAACGATTTTCGGTAAGTTCCCTTTTTTCCAATTAATCCAATTAACTGAATAATAAAGACAAAGAACTCTTGAAGGTTATGATGAAACTTACAGAAACTTCCATGTGTATTACCTACAATGTACATTTCCCCTTTCTCTTTCTCCCTGTCTCAAAAATAGGTGACGAAAATGTATTATCAATTCAATTTGGCATTTGTCTCACCCACTCAAGAACTAATTTTGATAGAACCCATTCATGTTATCAGCAGCCCAGTCCAGTTTTTACAGCATGATTTGTGCCTTCACTTACTTTCACTCCTAAATCCGGTCGATTCTCTATCTACAAATATACTGAAAATTACGTCTCCAATCAATCTAATAATTCCATGTAAACTTGGAAATGCAGGACCATGTTCATTTGGCCTATTAGTAGTTGTACTAATAAAGAAACAGACTGTGGTCATTTTCCGAAAAATACCAGCAAATGAATGGACTTCTTGCTGAGGAAAAGTACTACCTTAGGTGAAGTTGTAGTAGTTTTGATGAGTTATCAGAGGAGGAAAATAAGTTTAATGATGGAAAAAGAGACATTTTCTTGAACCATTTCACTTCTGTCATTTTCACTTACGGAATCTTCCCGTTTCCTCCCTTTTCCCACTTTTATTCATTCACCGATCCGATGAACGTAACATACCATCCTACCTTATTCATTGTCACATTTCAATCTGACAAATGACTCAAAACAGCACTTATCTTTATAAATAAATTTGACCGTTCATCTTAGAGCAATTTGCAAACAGTACCTTTTTATTTCCCACATTATCAAAGAAATACTTCCCGTGACAATTGTCATTTCTCAGTTTGTTTTATTTCCACATTTAATTGGCCGCTATTTGCTGGGTCAGCTGCTATTCCTGGGTAATTCAGCATTTATAAATTTGAAATACTCTTTCACTTGCACTTCTTTTTCATAATGTCCAGTTTTTTCTCACAAAGTAAGTTGACTGCATGATCAAACCGGGAACTTCGATAAATTCTTTTCAAACCCGGGGCTTCCATAAATTCCTTGCAACCCGATTAACAGCATCTTCACTGGAAGTTTGCACCTCAATTAGTCATAATGGTTGCTGAGAAAATCCAATTTTGCGTATTGGAAACAGCTCCTGAATGCTGTTTCATGCAGACGTGTCCTTCGTTCACTGAATCATCCGGTAGAACTATTGATCGGGTTATTTCAATCACCTGATTTAATGCAAGAAAGTTTGAAAAAATTGAAGATATTATCGAAATAGGACACAATAAGTGTTGTAAATATTATCAAAATAAATACAATGAAATTGATTATTTCAACATCGCTAAAAATGTTAAGTCGCAAAACTCCAGGATTTCATGAAAAGGAGAGGTAAGAAAGCAACCAGTTGTGATAGAAATTTTTTGGCAGATATACCATGTTGCTTCACTGAAGTGATGCAACAAGCATCTCATCATTTTGAATTTGACAGAGTGTCCTTTCTCCCAGTTTTTCTTGAATTCTGACTGGTCATCGTCCATTACTACCACTACTACTCTTGTCGGTCAGTTAGTAAATTAATTCATTCACATCTGAATCATTGCACAACTGCACCAAAAACCTGGGTTACGTCATTCTAGCTTCTGTATGTATTGGACTTTAACTTCTGATTTAATTTCGAATGCTGCTATTCAAAATTTAATTCCATTGCTTCGTTCTGCTACATCAACGAGGTACATCATCATGGTGAATTCTATAGGGAAGGGGAAGTGTGTATGTGTGTGTGTGTGTGTGTGTGTGTGTGTGTGTGTGTAGTAGTGTGTGT